ACCTACATGAATCCTGATGAGGAAGAAATCACGATAAAGAATTTTATAAATAAAGAGTTGATCAAACCCGAAATGAACGTTTGATTCCAAATTTTCTCGACGGATTAAAACCTGGTCAGAGAAAAGTTTTTTACACGTGCTTTAAGAAAAGTACAAGAACGAAATTAAAGTTTCTTCGTTAGTCGGGGCTGTTTAAGAGCAAGCGACATATCACCATGGTGATGCAAGTCTTCAAGGTCCAATCATCGCAATGGCTCACAATTTTGTCGGTTCAAATAACATCATGGTGAAGGTCAATTTGGTACAAGGGCTCAAGGAGGAAAAGATGCAGCTAATGCTCGTTATATCAGCGTTGCCATGCCAGCATTGACTCGAAAAAGATTTCATCCTCATGACTCATTACTAACATATTATAATTATGACGGTCAGCTGGTAGAACCAGAATGGTATTTCCAATTCTGCCAATGATCCTTGTTAATGGATCCGAGGGTATCGGAACCGGTGAGTTTATTTAACAACCTGCATATTAAGAATTTTGCAAGACGTATAATAAAATTGATTTTCTTATAATATTAGGTTAGAGTTCATTCATTCCAAATTACAATCCTCGCGACATCGTTGATAATTTAAACAATGAAAAGCCAATTCCAATGCATCTCTGGTATTGGGTTCCAGGTAATATTATTAATAATCATTTAATAGAATTCTCTAACAGACTTTTGATTGGTCAACTATCTTTCGGTTAATTATCTTTTGGTTAATTAACCAGGTTAATTATCGCCCATCCCTAATTCCTGAACACCCTCCAATCAAAATTCAGTAAAACTCCGCTTTCTTAAGCGTTTTTTTTCTATTCAAAGAAATATATTTTCTTCTAAAATAATATCATGAGATTTTACATTTGAAATTCTTATTAACGGTAAGGTTTATATTAAAAAAAAAATCACATTAAAGCACGAACTTAAATTAAATTTATTTTTTTTAGATACAGAGTTGGTATCTTATTCGCAAGAAGCTATTGATAAAAGGTAAGTACGGGTTATTAATTCTTATATTTATCACTTTTTTTTTTTTTTTTTGTTACATCAAAACTTATGATTATTATATTTCTTTTTATTTTATTTTTTTTTTTTAGTAAATATGTAACTTATGTTGCAGTTCCGGAGTCTTCCAGTCATTTGCTATTAGAGTTGGAGCTTATTTAGGGGTTTACAAATTGTTGATGGAAAGAATGATTACGCACATATGGAAATTAATCCTGTGAACCGAGAGGAACCATATACATATATTTACACAACCACAACAAATCAATTTTTACCTCTTCAAATTTGATCCAGAAAAGCGGATTGATGATAATGTATACATTTTGAACATGCCGAAATGTAGTCTCACAAAAATCACAAAAATAAAGGTGGTTTAAAATCTTTATTATTAAGATGATCAGCGACAAGTTGATTGAAAAATAAAAAATAAAAATAAAAAATTGATATATATTTTACGAATAAATTTGTTTTTAAAGATATCTTTTACAAAGATTTATTTAGTTATAAAATAAAATAAGTCTTGGGTTATATGTTTCGATACTATGTTAAAAAAAAAAAAAAAAATATGGGACACGTGGTTGTGAATATGCTATAGGCATTAATTTCTAATCTTCCAGGAATAAAACATTGGTTATAGGCCCCTTAGAGTCAATTTCCCATAAACTCCTATTTTCTAATCCTATTCTACTACCCTAAATCATCAATGATAAAATCACTTCATGTAGAAGAGAATCGCCCAAATAGTAAAAGCATAATTTAAAATTTAAGTCAAATCCGAGAAAAGTATTAATGAAAATGCATATACAAATTCTCACCAAGGCACAATTAGAACCAGATCGCAAAGACAATTCCAAGAGATATGTTAACATCACAAGTCATCCTTAGTTCAAATATTAATCTTGTCATTTGAATGTCTACCAAAAACAAAGAAAAAAAACTGACAAGAAAATTGTGCTATTAGGTTCTTCTCTATGAAGAATGATGTTAGTAATTATAAAAACTAGCATGAATTGAACGTTCGAATTCGTTTTTATGAAGTAATTTCGGCATTATCAATTAAAGGCTATCTATTTTCAAGAGCATTTTAAAGGAACGAAGATGAAAACAAATTGAAAGAATTAAAGCTAATAATCGATTTGTAACTAACCATTTGGTAACGTTATATTTTAGTAATTTTCATTTTCAAATATTCGCTTATTTGTTAATAAATTTATGATTTTTATGCTTGAAAACTGTAATTCCTGCTTCATCTTATTCAATCGAACTCAAAAAATATAACAGCGCATTTTCTTCCATAGATACAAAATAGCTGACAAGGGTTTAACTCTACGAACTAGGTTTTGTTTATTAAAAATAAAAAAGGATTAAAATTTTTAAGATTATTAACTTCGTTTCTTTGTGAATCTTATTGTTCTGTTCTGTTATTCTAAACACATTTATAATTGGTATTGGGTGCTGAAAACGGTCACGCTGTTAAAATATCAGAAAGGATTTCGAAGTGAAGGTATCGAAGTACTAGCATTAATTGACACATATCAATCTCCGGAAATGTCAATACCATCCGACAATTAATTAATAAATGAATCGGATAGAATTTTCAAAATTACTATCGAGAAGTTGGATAATCGAAATTACACGTAACATAGTAAAAATTTTCCTTATCAGAGAGTCCAAATCCATGAAAATTAACACCAGCTTAAATAGTATCTTCATGCCTTCTGCGATTGATCCTCGAAAATAAATTTTGAATCTGTTTTCATATAATCATAAATTTCAGGTTTTCTACAATTGTACAAGTAATTCAAAGAATTTTGAATTTTGAGTTTTCCGTTTCTATATACCATTAAAACTAATGCTTATGCTTAGCATGAGTATCAGCACTAGCGCCAATACTAACACTACCAATGCTAATGCCACTAAAGCCAATGTTAGCGTCAGTGTTAATGTATATAGTTCTTGAGTATAAGCTACATACACGTTCTCATAATTTTTTATATTTTTTCTGGATCGGCTGTAGTAAGTATTGAGACAATAGTTAACTATTGATAACTTTCAGAAATATTTCCAATACAAGCTTACACATCTGAACATAGCTGGTTAATTTGTCAGAGTCGAAATAGCTCATCAAGAAAAAAAAAATGTTTCAAAGTTCTGACATAAAAGTTTCTAATATTTGACCTTGAAAGTTCAGCATCATCCTTTTGCAAAAGCCATTTGAGAATAATCTCAACAAGTACATGAACCATAATAAAAGTTTCTTTAACAAATGCGACATTGGATCCACTAACTTGAGTACTTCGCAATCTTACACCAAAGTCCAAATTGAGGTGAAACGTTAGATTTTGATGAAGAATTTTCAATATATAATCTCTGCAAATATTTCAATAAATTTTTCAACGCGATAGAATATTAAACTTTCATCATTTCTGATTGTGACTTTGAATATACTTACCAAGTATGAAATTACGATAAGAAACATGAATTTAGATTTTCAAAAGAGCCGTTACTTCCGCATCAATAAATTCTTTCCATAACATCTTACTGGCTACACCAATAAAATTTAAAATAGAGACGTTCTAATAGAGCAACTGTTTTTTTAGATCTTGGAATATTAGCAAATAAATGTTGATTAGATATAATTTTCAAAAAAAATTATACAGCTCCTATTCTAGGTGTTACGAAAGAAAAAAGAAGAATGTTTTGTTGTTTCCATTCGTCGTTGTTTTCATTTTCTATTATCCAATAAATCTGATGAGACACCAATATAAGATTTATTAAGAATATTATTATAAACAATCTAATACAATAAAGCAAGCTATAATGTATAATAGTCCAATTGAATTTTTAGCATGATCATATAGAAAGAATTTCTTTCAGTATTTATTTAAATTTTATATCGTTAACTTCATATGTCACCTGCGGGATGTCTCAATGGATTGCTAACACTTAATGTTTTATGAGTCCAGGCCCACAATTACCATTCCCTAGTTTACATTCCACAATATAAAAGTTCCAATTTTGTACTTTTGTTTCTCCGTCTTTTTATTATATAAAAAAAAAAATTGTACTAAAAAAAAGGTATAACTAAATATATGAAAAACGAAAAAAAAAAAAATAATTATAACCTAACCTTTCAAGTTCACCAAACACCGTAACTGAAGCAATTAAAAAATTAACCAGACTTGTATGAACGAAAACATTAAAGTCTAGTTGTGTCACCTAAATCTAATTCAAAAACAATTAACTAGCTTTAGTAATCTTCAAAATTTGTACTTGTTTTGCTGTTACAAAAATACGTTTTAATAAGTATTTTAAGTTTTAACATGGACGGTCTTTATATATCAATTGAATAATGTAGTTGCATTGTTACAATTAGATTATTAAATAAAGATGACCGTTTAAACTATTTTTTTCAAAAAAGGTATAGTTATTATTGCTATCTGAAACTTACTGAAATAGTTTAGTTAATATTAAGTAATAATGGTTTTTAGAAAGTTTCTTTCCCGCACTTCAAATTGCTCCAAATATTTGATTGGCTAATGAGAGTGTCCAAAGTTTATTTATAAAATGTCTATATATAAGATAATAAAAAATCTATTATGATTTCAAAATATAAAAGATAACCTTTTGAAAATTGATATCTTGGTAAAGGATATCGATAAGAAGACTGAATAAAAATCTACTGTACAATTTTCTAGAAAAGTTTCAAACACTTTAAATTATCGATAACCTTCAAAAACCAAATAATTTTAGATCTGCAGAACAATGTTCTAAAAATTTTTCACACTCTTCTAAAATATCGATAATTTTAAATCTACATTATCTTGTTCAAATGAATTAGAAGAAACTATTAGGTATAAAATTCTTTTTGTTAAATAACTTTTTTTTAAAATAAAGTTTTTAAAAGAAAAAAAATGCGTAAAGATTACGCATTTCCTTAAAAATTTTAACCAATTATTATTTTGTAAAGTCAGTCATCTCATTGAAATTATAAGTTTTAGAGAAAAATTTTGATTTTGAATCATTTAAATTATAAAATTCTAGTCCGCTAACAGGAAAGAGTCTATCTTTTTCCTCTTCCTCGATCAACTCTTTGGCTCCTAATCCCAAACAATTAACTACAACCTCCACCTTTTTCTCAAAAGCTTCTTGGAAATCGTTAATGGTCTTCTTTTCGATAGGCATCATTGATCCCAAATGTAATACAACTATAGATTTCAAATTCCGCGATGAGAATTTTTTTGAGACGTCCTTCGCTCATCATAAAACGGAATGAATTTTGATATTTTATGTATAAATTCTTCCTCGCAAATCAGTATCCTAAATATATATCAACACCTATCCTGACTTGAAAACAAATAACACGATTTGTCTTTTGTGTTTCAGTATAGCATCGATAACTATGTTTAATTGTTCTACCAATACCTTTTCATCTTCAACATCACCAAATATTTTTGGAACCAATCTTCTTGTATGAAAATCAGGGTTGTTGGGTAGACTATACTCCTTTTTTAACTTGCTTTGAATAATTTACTTTATGAATAGGTCCTTATTCTTGAGCTTTTTGTTGCCCTTCTCTTTTTCCTTACGGGTATCAACGGCCGGAGGTGCATCCGCAAAGTCAAAACTCATTGAGTATTGGGGACTCAACCACTTGGTGGTCAAAACTTTTACTTTCAAATAAGTAACCAACAGATTTCGTTCGTTTTGAACTCTTTTTTTTTTTACAAAAAAAAAATAATTATAAAATAATGAGATTATGAATAAAATATTTTGAAAAAAGACTATTTTTTTAACAATAAAATAAAAAAATATTGAAAAACTTACCTATAACAGGAATCAAAGTGTGGATTTAGTTTATGGGAGAGAACAGGGAAGAGAGGTCGACGATGATGGTTGTAATATGGATGAAGTAGTAGTGTCTGGGAATATATTTGGAGAATCTAGGGGAAAAGTGGCTGGTCGAATGTATTAATATCAACTTTGGTATTTATAAGAGTTATATTTTGTAAGTTGTAAATATCTATTATAATATTATAAAAATGAAAAAATATATATATTATTAAATGTAGAATTTCCAACAATTCTTCAAGAAACTGTCCAAAACGGCCTCGTTTTCATAAAAAAAAAAAATTGTGAAACGTGTATCGTTAAACAAATTTCTAAGCCACTCAATCTCCTAATTCAGAATTCAGAAAGCGCGTACAATTGAACTTTCGCGAAAATCAAAATGTTATCGATGCACTTTTATTTGTATTTGGTTATCGAGCAAATAAAATGAGCCAAGCCAAATTATCAGAATTTATTCATTCATCACTTTGATGTGAAAATCTGGTTTGAAAAATTCTTGACTTGGTACTAATAAAATTTTTAATTTCCAAAAAAAAAAAAAAAAGAAAGAAAAAGAAAAAGAATAAAAAATCACTTAAAATTAAAAATACATT